TCTTTCTTGGCTCCCTTTTCTTTTCTTTTCTGTTCCCCCTTCCGCCCCTGCATGCCTTGTGGCATGCTTATTCCCCTTTATGTGCATCCTCCTAACTCTGCCCCATCTCTAAATAATAAATACCCTTCCTTCTTGGCTCCCTTTTCTTTTTTTTTCTTTTCCCCCTTTCTTTCTAGGCCCCATGGTCTCTCTCATGTTGCTCGTTTTCCCCATTGGTTCCTGGCATGCGTCTTGGGGGACCTGTGGCAGATGAGCATGGTGCGGAGGTCCTCCTCATGCGGCCAAGTCCTGCAGCGCGACATGTTTTTCAAGCAGCTTGGCGTCCCTACACTGGTGGCCGTCAGTTGGTGAGTCAAAAACTTCTCTAACAAGCTGCCGTAGAGCTGCAAAGCGAAAAATTGATCTTTTGTGTGGCTGTCTTAGCGTTTTCTTGTCATAACTGAGTCAACAAGCTGCTGTAGAGCTGCAAAGCAAAAAAATCTCAGGGCTGTTACCGTCTCTAAAAACCCAAAAAAGAAAAGAAAAGTATCCTGTGGGACGGGCACACTGCTCAAGCAGCTTGTCGTCCTTATTCCGGTGGGCGTCAGGTGGTAAGTCAACTGCCCTAAAAATAACAGCCCGGTACGAAGCTGCAAAGCAATCGATCTTCTCTATGTGCGGTTGCCTCCGGATTTCGTCATATCTTTTTCTTTCCGCCACCTACGCTGCTCTCCCTGTGAACACCTGGCTACATGTCCGAAGGAAGAACAACGACCCAAATAGCTGAGAGCAGCAGCCAGAAGTTGTTCGGTTTGCAATTCTGCATATATATATATATATGTGACGATATATATATATATCTATAACACAGCCCCTCGTTTGTTGTCCTCTTCTCTCTCTCTGCCTACGGTTTTACCGGGCAGTTCTGTTTGTGACGATATATATAAAATATATATTTATATTTATATGTGCAAGGAAGATGAGCAATAGCGAACTTCAGCAATCAAACAGAATCAGACACATGAGACCAGATAGTCGTGACCTCGATGCAATAGCAGAATTGCATCACGAGTTTCACCAAATAAGATCACACCAAAAGCTCATAATTGACAATGCTGGAATAGTCTCATCATCATCAACGAAGAACCAATGTTGATATCCTATCTGGCGCTCGGCGCCCAGACTACGAATGGCAGATCCCATCTAGCCTAGACTACAATGTCGCTGATGATGTCAACAGCTTCCCAAGTACGAGCAGATCTTGGCCAATGCCGCACGCGTCAAGCACCAGGTATGTCTCTYGTATCACTCACAACCTCGTTCCCCAASTCACAGATGCCACTTGCACCCAAGGACCACCATGCGSCCCATCCAGCATACAGCAGCGCAGCTCGGCTATGGCTGCCTGCTCCTTCCAGCTCGCCCGTGAGCGCGTGAGCCTGGCCAGCGTTAGCGCAGCAGCGCTTGCGCAGCATGCAGCCAGTGCCTGAATGTCCAATGCGTGGGCTGGCCCTTTCCTAAATGGAAGTGGCCAGCCTGCTTGCGTGCAGCCTGGCTGCTCTGGGCCCCTGCCCAGAAGCTTCCGGTAGGCCCCGGGAGGCTGAGCCTCAGACCAAACGAATCAGACCCAGGGCCACCGACAGTTACCCGTGCTCAACTGCCCGCTGTCGGAGTTGGGTCGATGCTGCGTGTATAGCCCAGGGCCTGACTTAGATACATTCGGTAAAGGAGGCCAGGGCCTGGGCGCCTTCAACCAACTGGCGCTGCGCAACTGCCTGAATTTCCCTCAGTTGCGAAGTAGTCCAAAATAGGCCTCTTGTCGTCTGTCGAGCCTGCCTTCACTTAAGGCGGCCGACCTGTTGCAAATAGGGGCCCAATAGGGCTTATCGAGGCCTATGTGTCGCATTCCCTCTTCCATACTCCGCTAGTCCTCTGAAAAGTTCAATCTTCGATAATCTGGCACTTTCCTTTTTGCAGAGACTTCTCATATTGAGCGACAACCTGCGGAGCGGTCTGCATCAGTTCGTCCCGTGTGAACCATCTATCCTCCTTAGGATCAGTATGATGTCTGAACCGAAATCGGTACTGCAGTTTCGGTTCTGGAGGACGTCCCCTGCCTGTCGGTCTTGGAACTGGCATTTCCTTGTGGTCGACGATGTCGTCGATGTCGACCTCTTCATCCATGGTTGGGGGCAGCATTGAGCGACAAGAGGGAAACTAGTCGGTTTCCCTGAAAGGTGTAAGCTTGGAAGCGTGGAAAACAGGGTAAGTGTGTTAGTGACCAGCGATGCGAATAACATAAGAAGGGCCATCCGGTTCATCCCCAACGACATCTAGTACCTCCCATGGTCCAAAGTACTATGGCATGAGCTTACGGGAGATCCCGTGCTCCTGTCCCAGTTCTGAGGACTTAACCCAGTGCCCTACCTGGAATGTAGATGGACGGTGTTGTTTGTTCTCTGACTCTATCATCGTCGCCTGTGCTTTATGCATTTGCTCCAACAGCCTGCTGCATCAGGCGCTCATATCGATAAGCAAACTCTAAGGTACGTGGTGCAGCAGACGACTGATTCTCAGGTAGTAGGAAGTCCAAAGGCAGTCTAGGCTTGAACGTCAGTAGCAAGCTGTTCAGGCTCACTCCCGTAGCGCTGTGCACAGCGTTGTTGTACAGGCTGGCGATGAGAGCAAGTTTTTCATCCCAGTCCACCTGATTTGGCTTGATGTAATGCCTCAGCAGGTGTTGTACAACGCGGTTCAACTGCTCTGCCTGCACATTTGCCTCTGGGTGATTGCCTGATGTCATTTGCAACTGCGTGCCCTGTTCTGCAGCTGCGGCTTTCCACAGTTCGCTGGTAAATTGCACATCCCGGTCACTAATTATAGACTTAGGCAGTCCGAAATCTCTGACCTAGTATTCTTTGAACAGCTTGATTACATACTCAGTTTTAGCTGTTGCAGGCATTGCGACTAACCTAGCGTACTTACTAAACCTATCCACAATGACATAGACGTAGCGCATTCCACTCTTGCCGGTGACCAGCGTATCCATGAAATCCATGGAAGGCTCTCACCAGGCCTTTCCGGAATCGGAAGGGGCTTTAAAAGCCCAAGAGGAGCCTGTGTACGTGGCTTGTCCCTCTGACAGACCTGACAAGTCTCCACGTACAACTTTGCGTCTCTCATCATCATGGGCCACCAGAACCGCTGCAACAAATTGGCTGCAGTCTTCTTGAAACCAAAATGACCGGTGGCGTCATGACACTCTCCTAAAAATAAATTGTGCAAAGAGTCCCTATTAGGCACACACAAACGCTTATTCCCAGCCTTCTCAAGGAACAGCAAGCCGTTGACCAACTCAAAATCGGCATAAGTCACTTTGTCCTTCGCCTCGAGTCGGCGAATGATCTCAGACATAAACGGATCCTCGCGATAGGCTTCCACCATAGATCGAGTGACATCGTCCGCAAGCCCGAACTCAGTGATCAGCGCACCACGGAAGTCAGGCCTTCGTGATAAGGCATCAACAACTTTGTTGTACTCCCCCTTTAGATATTGGGGTTCGAAGTCATACTGTTCAATGACTTCGATCCAGCGCTTCAAGGCATCAGAGACCACAAACCGAGTTCTCATCCACTTCAGGGTCTGATGATAAATCCTGACGATGAAAAACCTCCCAAGGAGGTAATGTCTCCAATGGGTTAGTGCCTTGTAGATCGCGTAGAGTTCCTTCTCATAGGTGGACTTAGCCAACTTCTGAGACGACATCTTTTTGGACATGTACTCGACAGGCCTCAACTTTGGGCCCTCCTCCTGCGCGAGCACGGCACCAATGCCATATTGGCTGGCGTCCGTGGTTACTATGAACGGCTTGTCAGGATCTGGAAGTTTTAGGATCTCATGGTGTGTCAACGCATGCTTCAGATGTCTGAAAGCAGCCTCACACCTGTTTGTCCACTCCCATGGTGTGTCAAGGTGGGTCAGGTCCGTCAAAGAAGCTGCAACTATGCTATAGTCCTTCACAAAATTGCGATAGTAGCCGGTCATCCCTAAGAAGGACCTCATCTTAGTCACAGACTGAGGACGCGGCCAGTCACGAATGTTGGCCACCTTCGCGTCATGGGGCTTTAAACCCTCCGCGGAAATCTCATGACCCAAGTATAAGATACGGGTGCGGCCAAAGTCACACTTCTCCCCGTTTATCTTGAACTTGTGTTGCTGAAGGAGACTGAGGACTTTGTCTAAGTGCGCTACATGCTCCTCGACAATCCTACTAAAAATAAGTATGTCATCGAGGTACACGATGACAAACTTATCCAAGTAATCATGAAATATCCGATTCATAGCGTACTGGAAGGTACCAGGAGCATTGCAAAGGCCGAAAGGCATCACCACAAACTCGTGCAGACCGTACCTGGTCTGAAATGCGGTTTTGTGTTGATCCTCAGGCCGGATTGCAATCTGATGGTATTTGGACTTCAGATCTATCTTACCAAAGTACCGGCACCCTTGCACTCTATCTAGCAAGTCGTCGATGCGCGGTAGGGGCTCTTTTTTCTTGACAGTGATGACATTGAGGCCCCTATAGTCAATGCAAATCCTCAATGTTCCCCCCTTCTTCGGTACGAATAGGACTGGAGATCCATAAGGAGAAACACTCGGCCGGATCCAACCCTTCTCTACGAGTTCTTTGAGTTGTCGACGAAGCTCATCAAGCTCGCCTAGAGACATCCTATAGATCCTACCCTTCGGGATACTAGACCTTGGGATAATCTCTATTGCGTGGACGACCTCCCTCTCAACAACCCCTGTAGGCTCTTCAAATAGATCAGGGTACTTGGCAACTACACCCTCTATCTTCGGGGACATTTTCACCGGTTCGCCTGCTGCAGAGACATTTACTAGATACATACCCTTCTCCGGATTGTGCTTGTAATAATTATAGAACGCAGCCGCACACATGCATCCGTAGGACTCGATCAGACTACTAGCCTTAAACTTACGTAATCTGGCGGTCCCCCCATCTGGCAAAGTGTGTTTGACCACTTTTCGGTCCGAGTCAAATTGGGGATGTGCAATGGAGAGGTAGTACATACCTAACAAGATATCCATAGGGAGATCATCGCTCACTAGGAATGAGACGCGATGTCTCAGTTCCCCTCCCGCGTACGGGAAATAACACTCAACATCCTGGAGGTAGTCATTAACTACCATGCACTGTTTGTTGGCACAGGTTGACTCCACAGGTCGACTCAGGCGCTGCACTCGCGCTTGTAAGCGCAGTCTCCCAATGCACGCGCGACTAATGAAGTTCCTTGTCGAGCAAGTGTCATAATAGGCCCCGGCCTTGTGGCCGCCGATGACTACCTCG